TGAAATTGAAATTCATGACTAGCACCCCCACTCCAACTGAAATCAGTGTTAGTTTATTTTCCTATATGAGAAATATATTGGTTTTTGATGGTTTTATTTTGGGAATTTTTCCAGATTTGCTTAGGCCAAATTAGATCTTGTTAGCCATTAGATAAACAGCAAGTAATTACTTGATTGAAAGACAATTTGTGTATTTAAGGGCTTGAGATTATTTGACTTTTGAATAATTCACATCACATGATAGAGTCAGGAACAGCTCATTAAGAGGCAGAGACTTGCTAAGGAATTGTTGTTTTTAAGGAGCATTCAGATGTTTTAAATTTTGGTAAAATTAGTTTTAATTTTCTAATGATGGCAGATGTGTGGCAGACAGCCAGGACTTAAACATAAAACGTATCTGAAGATGTTCATGAATTAATGCCTGGTTCCTTACTGAAGTCATAAGGATCTCTTCCAGTGACACAGTGTAAGTTTACTAAGATGGTGGTGTACAGCATAAGTATTCATACACGTGTTTGAGTCATTTACTAACGTTTCTTTTTTGTGATTCATAACACTGTATAATTAGTAACATCTTGATAGTTTGTAATGAGAAGAATATCCAGAAATACCAGTCTTAGAGCAACTCATTTTATGTGATTTGGTTGAATGACTTTGATTGTTTTGAAAAGGAGGGCTGTCTCTGAAACTTTTGACTATAGGTTTCAGTTGTTCAGATACTAGGTGAATGTTGAAAGCTTATTATTCCACCCCTTTCCCTTCACTCTTCTCTGCCTTGCTCTCTGCACCCCAAAGTAAAATTTTAAGAAATTTATACATAGATTCTATAGATAGAGATGCTTAAGAGTTGCTTGCTGTGTAGCTAGACAAACATAATACCATAATAGTCATTTAACTCCTCATTACTAAATGTTAGAAGCTGTAGTTTTTAATTAAATAGAAATATTTTAAGCCTGTCTTTACAATTATGCTATCATAACCTACTTAGAATTTGGTAAATAGTTATCATAAAGCCTTCTTATATTTTCTGTACCACATTTTTACAACCAAACACCTCGTGGGATTTGGTTCCTTGGTTTGGAGGTTTAGGGCCATGATTTCATGGGGCATCCCAGTTAATTGGCCTAGTAACATGTTTAGTGCTTGAATTTTACCTCCTAGTTCATTGCATAGTGCCTGAGGTCTTAAAAACTTGTAGGTGGACACCCAAGGTACAACAATTGGCCACTGTTCACCTGGGAGCAACAAAGAAAGGAAGAGTCAGGAATAGGAGGAGAAAATGGAATGTGTGGCTAACAGCCTCCGTGAACAACTGTCTCCTTTGCCATGAGACCAGAAGAACTGGATGGTGTCTGGGTACCATTACTGAATGTTTTGATCAAATCAAAGATTCTGTAGAAGAATCATGATCAAAAAGGGGAAAATGCAGAACAGAATTTCAAATTTTCATGAACTCCAGTCTTTCTGGTGCCACGGAAGCTGGGTGAACTCCTGGAACTATTGCCCAGAGATAACCTTTAAACCTTAACCAGAACTATCCCTTGAAGTCTTCTTTAAACCAAACAACAGTTTAGCTTAACTAGTAAAGAATGTCTGCCTTGAGCGTTGTGCTTTTAAAGGACTATCTATATGTGATCAAATTGACAACAGCAAATCGAAGGATTAAATAGGAAACTTGGGGTGAGTTTTTGTTAATGGGGAGGAACAGTTTGGAAAAGGAGGGTGAGAATGGTTACACAACTTGAAGAATGTAATCAGTGTCAATGAATTGTACATGTGGAAATTGTTGAATTGGTGTATGTTCTGTGTATATTCTCAACAATAACAAAAAATAAAAACAAAAAAAAGCATAAGAACCACATTTAATCATTTTCCCAGTAATTTTCACTAAAAAAAAAAAAAAAAATTGACAAGAAATATACTAAAAATTACTTGCAAAAATTTTTCCTTTTATTTCAGAGTTTTACCTTTGTTAGCACCTAGTCTGTTGGCCTGTAATTCTTCCGTAAAAGCCTTAAGAGAGGGTAAGTCTTCTAAGAGGCAGAACTTGTATGGGCAAAACTTCTGATCAAGATGGTATTGTGACTATATGCCTTGAGGCACCCGTTTTTTTCTCACTTGTTGGAGTGATAGATAAAATAAAAAAAGAGAAAATTGAAGACATAGCTGGACAGCAAAAAGGATAAACATGGTATGCCCAAGAAATGGAACAGAAGCTCCCTGGGCTCTGGGTCTGGAAGCAGGTATTAGCAGCCAGGAGTTTGGCTTGTTTAGGTAATGAGTCTAAAAGTACTATGTGCATAGCCAACTACTGGAGTCATACTCACTGTTTGAATTTATCCAGCCAGCCACCCACCCCCATATAAAACAAACCAAAAAAACAAACCCATTGCCGTTAAGTCAATTCTGACAATGTCGACCTCATGTGTTACAGACTAGAACTGAGCTCCATAGGGTTTTCCTGGCTGTAATCTTTACAGAAGCAGATTGCCAGGCCTTTCTGCAGCACCACTGCATGGGTTCCAGCCTCCAACCTGTATGTTAGTAATCAAGCACAGACCACTTGCGCTACCCAGGGACCTCTACCCCTATACAGGGAAGCAGAAAATGTTGTTAGGTGCCATTGAGTTGGTTCTGACTCATGGCAGCCCTATGATGTACAACAAAATGGAACACTGCCTGGTCCCATGCCATCCTCACAATCATTGCTGTGTTTGAGCCCATTGTTACAACCACTGTCAGTCCATCTCGTTGAGGGTCTTCCTCTTTTTCACTGACCTACTTTACCAAGCATAATGTCCTTCTTTGGGGACTGATCCCTCCTGATAATATGTCCAAAGTATGTGAAATAAAGTCTCACCATCCTTGCTTCTAAGGAGCATTCTGGCTGT